TTGTTTTTCCAGGCGATACACAACCCTTTGCCTGTGTGCTGAAGGTGCCGAAGATCCATCCGATAAGGGGTCAAGCTGAAGGAGCCGAGATAGCCAGGATGAGGCAGTACGTCAGCACCAGCCTCCACGTCCGTGTTGTCTCACAGCGACCGTGTGTCCACTTCAGGGTGTGTAGCAATGCTTCAGCGTGGAGTCTGCTGGGCTTAAGAGATTTTTGGCTTTGCTTGTGAGCCATCCCTAAATGTTTGAGAGCTCAGTGTTTGAACATTTACCCCTTTCATTTGCAGGGGAGGCCTTTGGAGCAGCTGAAGAGAGAGGAGCCTTCTAGGTGAGTCGGGGAGGCAGCAGGAGGAGCAGGGATCCACTGCAACTTTAGAACTGCCCTCTAATGTTGTGTCTCACTCACTTAGGTATCCTGGAAGGTGACAGCCACAGTGTCCGCCTCCGATCTGGTCTCGCTGATGGTGAGTAGGGGGATCACTGGGGTTCGAGCCGCATGACACACAACTCACATATCGCTTCTGGTTTTCTTTCTCGTAGTTGACTTGGAGTACTCTCATGATGACAGGAACCTCTGAGCCAGCCCAGGTGCCCCTCCTCTGCATCAAAGATGGATTCGCATCCCTGGCTCTCGGCAAGATAAGTGCAGGGCGAAGATCCAGAGAGGGGTTGGGACTCGGTGCAAGTGTTTGCATCGCCTGGAGGGATTTTTGAAATTAGTCCAGTGCAATGGGTATTTTGTAACAGATTATTTGGACACATGGAAGGAAGGGTTTACTTTGTATCCCTGGATTCACTTGTGCAGGGCAGAGCAGTTTCGGTTTGTGTCACGTCCTTTGTCTCGTTCCTGTTTTTTGTCTTTTGTCTCTTAATTGTGTCACATGGTGTGTGTCTTTACTGGTGTGGGATGTCTCACTTGGGGTCAACCTGGAACTGCTCTGTCCCGCTCCGTGGATCAGTGGGTAGATAGAATATTGCTCAGTTAGACATCAATATGTCAGTTACCTTAGACAGTCGAACCGATGGCTTTACAGTCTGTGATCAGGGTTGTCTTGCGATGCCCTGCTTGGGTGTATAGAGTCACAACTAGGTAGAGTAGCAAAGTGTCCATGGTATGGGCATTTGTCAGGGGTCTTTGGGCTTACAAAATTTATAGACTCGGTTTAGTGGGTAAGTCCAAGGTCACAGAAGGCACACTTCAGAGTCCCTCCCCTTTTGTCTTACAGCCACCCAAAGGAGACTCAGATTCCCACGGTGAAAGACGGCATCAGTTTTCCTGGAACTTACGGCGACCGGGGCGAGATCGACCGAGTGATCATCGATGGAAACTTCTGAGAGCCACGGGGAGTCTCCGCCCAATGACTTCTGGACTGCATCGTATAGCATTGTATACATTTATTTAGCGTTGCAGGTTGCTTCTTAGTTACAGTTATTGTATTTTCCAAGTAGCATAGGCAAAGTCCAGTCGCCGTTTATGTTGTCATTTGTACCGTCTCATACTGCTCTGTATCATACACTTGTATAGTTGTAGTCATATCGGTCCGTGTCCGAACGTCACAGTGTCGCGTTCCGTGCGTCAGGAATCGTACATCTTTGTGCCTTTGTTTGTAGCACTTATGTCATGTCACTTGTATTGCCATGTATTGTTCTGTCTGGTATACTTGTATGTTTGCAATTGTATTGCTCTGTGTGGGAATGTCCTAGTGTTGTATTGCTGTGCGTCAGTTAGGAATCGTATAGCTTTGTACCTTACTTTGTTTTGCTTTACGTGTTGTGTCATTGATACTGTCTTGTAATGCTGTGAGGGGATGCGTGTTTTGTCAGGCTTGGCAATTTGTTTCTTGTTGGTTTTTTTTTTTTTTTGTGGCTCCAGGGGAACCCCGTTCCCGAGGGAGCGTTTTGAGCGTGCGCCGATATTCAGGCTTGGCTTGCGGCTTTGGGGTATGGTGGAGGTGTGGTGATGGTGGGGTTGGGTGTTTGTAATGTAGTCTTCTAACCTTGTGTTTGTATTGTTTCTCTTACAGGTTTTTTTTTACAGCATTTTAGCTTTAGAATAAAAAAACCCCAGCCGGG